CATCAATCAATCTAATAATCTCTCCCAAAGACTTGTTGCGTTAGAAATCCCTCAAATCGCCCCAACCTAACGAAAGCGCAACAGTACGTATTTGACGATCATCACATTTACTACATGTATCGCTATATGCGTACAGTGGCTCACATAAGAAACGCAACATGAAAAGTTTCACGAAAAAAATTCTAGCCCCCTCCCCCCACCAAAATCAATTTGATATCTATAGTTTCTATAAGCTAATAATCTAAAAAAAAAAAAAAACTAGTCAATAATCTCATTTTGGGAAAATTGAGCGATCTACATGATTTTTTTTAATTAACTTCAAATAGTTTTGTTTCGAATTATGCTAGTAAAAAAATTCAGCTATTTTTTTCACTAGCATAATTCGAAACTTCGGGATCTTATAACTCGACGAGTTTAATGCCAATTTTTCTAAAAATTGGTAGCTAGGTAGTTTTCACGAAGAACACTAATTAAAAAAATAATGTAGATCGCTTAATTTTCCCAAAATGAGATTATTGACTAGTTAGATTATTAGCTTTAAAAAGAGTATAGAAACTATAGATATCAAATTGATTTGGGGGGCTAGAATTTTTTTTCGTGAAACTTATCATGTAAAGTGAGTACGTATTCAAAATTTTAGATTCCATCTTTGAGTTCACTTTACGTATAAATTTTTTATTGATTATTGATTATCGTTATCGTGCGTGTTTTATTTAAACTTCGAAAAACTTCCATTTGTGTGTAGATTGATCTCCGTGTTAACGTTAAATGACCTTCAAGAGATCTATTTCCTAACGTTAATACTGTATGTCAATACATGTACATATACCTATTAACGTTAACGTTAGCATCGATATTACGTAACATGTATTTGTTATCGTTATTGGCTACACAATTTATGTTGGTGTGTGATATAAATAACGATAATGGAAATAATTCCTAAAGAACATGTGAATGATGCACGTACATGTATTATGTACATATATGTATATATAGCACATAATAACGACCTATCGATATGCTATTCGAGTTCGGAACTCATTTACGCTAAACATTTTGAATCTACGTTAATGTTATGAATACTGCAAAAGCAATCTGTCCACAATTCATCTGCGAAAAATATCAATTCTTGAATCGTACACTTGACGAATTCTATCATTGGATTGATCGTGATGTTGACAAAAACATGATAATTTCTCGCGTTGAACAAATTCTAGATGATGAATTTATAAATCTTGACGAATTTGCCCAGCATTTAGTTTCGTATCACACAGCAAAAAATATGCTACCTTTTATTGGTTTTCTATTCGAAAACTTCGTCACCCTTAAATTACATGACAAGAATGAAATGTCGGCAAAAAGATACGCTATGAAATATTATGAAACATCGGCAAAAAACGAAAATCAATACGGGCAACTCTTTCTCGGCAATACTTTGTTTGGGAATCATTCAACAAAGAAAGCAATTTATTGGTTAGCAAAGGCAGCAATTCAGGGAAACATCCCAGCAAAAGTAAAGTTGACGATACTTTTTATCAGCTCTCAAACAAAAATCTATAGAGCATTAAAGAATTACTCGGGAAATTTAATTGCTCAAAAATATTTATTTTATAAATTAAGACGAGGAGAAGGAATCCTAAAAGACTTGCACCGAACACTTTTAGTTTCCTATCATCTATTCAATGATGAAGATATTTCATGGCATGAAAAAGACGCCATTTTGCGACAATTGCAATTCTTATTTCGAAAAAAAATTTAGCAATATCGATATGTCAAATATGGGCAAATTATGAGTGACAATTCAATAAATCTATTTATATATCACGATTTTTAAGATACGTAGTCAATAAATTTGAAATTTTTAATACATGTCAATATTTTTTATCCAATATTTTCTGAAAACTGAAGACGAGAGACAATTGGTTGTCATTACGCCACAACTGACATTTGACACTGAAACAAAAATTGGGCGGAATATTAAAAAATTGATTGGGTGATAAACGTCGGTTATTATGATACGTAGCTGGAAACGGGGATGGTTTGTTAACTTAGTTCGGATTACAAAGTTCGGGTTTCGGAGTTGACTTGGGACGTATGATCTATTTACATGTATATATCGATATATACAGATAAACATGATGCATTATCCGTTCATGAACATGTACGTACGTATTAATCGATTGAAATAAATTTATCAAACAGGTGTGCATTGTGGCTTAAGTATTTGACTGTCGAATACTAACGCTAAGCAATAACGATACTGGCTGTGTTCATTAACATTAATACGTACGTATATCGATATGTACATACGCTTATACTTGGCAGAAAATTACAGTAATAAATACAGGTCATTCTTTGATTCATTCTTCAATTTTGATTTGTGATATCTGTTTCTTGGAATCTTTAGCACAATGATTCAAAGAAAATTTTTCTCGCTCAGTTTGATCCTATCTCTACTTATATTTAGTAGCGGCTTAATAAGTAAAAGTTTTGCGAAAAAGCAAAAAGAGACTCCCTCGTCGTCTTCCTCCTCTTCCGATAATGATCCTATTCCTATATTAAATCCTTTATCGGAATTTTTCTCGGAAACTTATCCAGATGATACTTTGGATTTCTCTGTAATCGGTGACTGGGGATTCCCTGGTGATAATCAAACACAGACTGCTAATGCTATGCGTATATATGCTGAAAGGTTTAATAGTAAATTTATCGTAAATGTTGGTGGTAAGAAAATTTAACATTCGGAATTTCAAACAATTTCAGGTGCACTTGTTGTTTATTAAGAAGTTTCGAATTTTTTAGATAGTTTTTATATTGGCGGAATTTACACCTATGATGGAGTGAGTAATGCAAGTGATCCAAAATTTAACACGATTTGGAAAGCTACTTATACTGGAAAATTGGGGGAAATCCCATGGTATGCTGTTGCGGGAAACCACGAATGGTCAGTTAATATTTTTACATAAAATGTTTTTGTTTGCCTCTAAAAGTATTAACGTTAAATTACTCTCAAAAAAGGTATAATAATGTGACGGCGGAAGTGGATTACAGTCGTAATAAAGATGCACGATTTTTCCTTCCTTCACTCTACTATACGCGTGTGTCACATGTTGGTCCTAACAAAGATAAGATTGCATGGATCCATATCGACACCAATCCATTTTACTACACGGATATCAAAAAATTAAAGAAAAAGAATAAAGAGATGTATGACGCGTTAGTTCAACAAGGTTGGGAAAATGACGATTCAGTAGAGAATTTATTGAAATGGATTGAAAGCCAACTTGTCGCACATCAAGACGCCAAATGGATTTTTGTAATTGGTCATCATCCATTAGTAGGCGACTGTCAAACTGTCGGGAAAATGAGCCGTCTTCCACCATTATTTGAAAATTATCGAGTAACCGCTTATTTCTCTGGTCATAACCACGCGTTAGCGTATCAACAGCCATCGAATTCCTCATCGGTTGCATATTTCTTATCAGGAGCTGGAAGTAAAGTAGAGGATATTTGTGAAGGTCGTACTTGGGGAGCTTTTAAAACAGGATTCGTACATGTTACAATATCGACTAATGACGATAAAGCGGATTTTCAATATGTTGACGCGTCAGATCCGAACAAATCTGGTGGTGTAGTTGCCTATTCAGGAACTTTAAAACCTCATCCATTCCATTCAAATTAGAGAATGTTAAAACTTTGTTATATTATTTTTGTTTTTTTTTTTTTTTTAGTAATACGTAATATCAAAGGGACTGTGAACATTCATTAATTTAATTAATTTATCAACATAGCTTGGGGGGGAGGAAGGGCACCAGAAATTTAGATTTTCAATATATAAAATACTGTATGATTTATAGAATGTTCTTGCTTAGATAATAATGACAATTTGCTATGGTTGTTAAGAAAGCGGAGCGGAGTGAATTGGGTTCAATCAATACTGCTCCAGATCTGGAGTATTTAATTTGATTGGATAAAATAACATACTTTTACATTATCGCTATACATACGTACGTACTTCATAATCGTCACAGAAACAAAGACCCAAATTATTTAACTCTTTTATTCAAAAAAGGTCACTAGATTTCATTTAATCTGATTTTCTTATATTTTTGTCACGTACTTGCTGAATGCAACTTTTTAAACACATTACTGTTCGTGTTGTATCTGGTTTTAAGTTGCGTCGAATTTTGGTTATCGTAGTTCCGAGAGTACATTTGAACCTTGTATACATAAATAACAGGATGCCATACTTGCAAGAACTGGAAAATCTACGTTACCAATCTAACGGATCAGAGTCAGAGTCAATTGGTGTTGCATGTATCGAGTAATTTCATCTTCAGCAAATATTTCTTTGGCAGTTTGCTCCATAAGAAGTGATTAAAGAAAATCGTTTGTTGTCTCGTAATTGTAAATTTGCAGAAATTATTGTTGCATTTTGGCTTAGTGGTGTGTCATTTTTATAAAATGTCATTAGTTTTGCAATGATATTATAGACTTATTACGTTAATTAATATCCACAAAAGCTTTAGTTTTTGAACGTGGATCTAATAAAGTGCCAATTGTTATTAAATCTTCTATATAGTTCCAATATTGAAATTAATTGAATCTGCTATCATACATTCTTCTAAATTAACATGATCTTTAATAAAAGAATCCAAATGCTGAAGCAAACCAATAATTAATCTTACATTACATATTGTATGATATATAAAAGCTGATAATACTACAGTTGCAATAAAAATTGGTTCAAGTAGTTGAGTCATATTATTAGTCTTTGACCAATTATCATAAGGTTCTGATTTTTAACAATGAGAATATCTAGAATATTGTGCATGTGATAAATTTTTAAATATTAAATAAGTGCTGTCTCAACATCTAAATCAGATTTTATTTTAACAGTACTTTCAAGTTTACATATTGTTCTTAATGAATCATACAACTTTGTTAATTAATATACAAGGGGGTAAAAAAAATTATTAAATATTTTTTGTAAATCATTTTAGAAGCTAACCATTTCCAAAATTTTATTTATTTATTATAAAAACAAAATACAAGCTAGTATTTTGTTTGACTTCTATTTGTTGCAATAACAACTTGAACTCTTTGTTAGTGCTCCAACCGGGTCGGGTCCAATCCGTGGCCTGACCGGAACGCACATTTCGGGTCGGGTTGGATTGGGGTCAAATCTGACCCAAAATATTTCGGGTCAGCCTAAAATACATTATTTCTCGTTCAATATTAATTGGAATTTGTGGGTATATACTCCGAACAATTCTGCTTAAACACAAAATACAAGTGTCTTAGTAAAAATAAAAGTTATTAACGAAAAACTATTTTATGATTTTCGGATCAAACCCGATCCGAATTCTCTAACAAATATGCTGAATTCTCAAAAAATAATTCATCAGTTAGTGGAGTTTTAAAACATTACTTTTTTGTATAATATTTATTTTGCAAAATTGTGCATAACAAAGTTCTTTTAAACTAAGAAATCTCGGTCAAGGTTTTTAAGCATAATACACCAATAACTACATGCAAATTATTAAGCATTATTCCCACAAGATGACACATACTTAAGGAAAGATAAAGCCAACAATTTAACTATTTTTGATTAATTCAACTTGCGCTTTTTGGCAAGCGATTCACGCGCACCTTTTAGTTTTAGTTTACATTCGGAAGATTTAGGTATCGAGTTTAAAAGATTTAGCGCTAAAATTAGCTTAAAATCCCACAATAAATTTGATATATGATGTGACAAAAAGCATTTTTACAAAGTTACAGTTTTATATTTTATTTACAAAAGCTGATTCATAACAAACATTCATTTTGTTCGTTAGAGCATATATAACGCTAACAAAAGAAGAGTTTCTGCTAATGCAATATTTGAAAACACTTAATTAGTTGAAATCTTAAACTGTAACTTCTTTTTGTTCTATTATACTAATTGTTTGCTACAAAAATTACAAGAAAAAAATAGTTATCGTTATTGTTATTGTTATATAAAATTGATATCGATGTGAAATTGGCGAACACACAGATCACATTCTTCCCATTTAAAATAAATTTAATGAACTAAAAAATTTTTAAACCATGATAGAATGCCATCGTATACTGTGCGTATTTTTTTCACAAGTATTTGTTGAGTTATTATGTACTGAAGTTACGCTGCTACTAGGCGTGAAATCAAGAATACTGTGGTTATCGTTATAGGATTATTAGTTAATTTTAAATAAATATTGCGTCGTCATTATCAAGTTAGTTCTCTATCATGTATATTATTCACTACAAGTTCGGCCTATACCTAGCACTCCTTCGGATACAAAGAATAGAACGTTCATTAAAGATGTATGCCATTGGTTCATAAAACTTTTCATTGAATTATTATCAGGATTTTATTAATACGATACGATGAAAGTAATAAATAGATATTCACATTTCATTTATCAGATGCTAAATAATATTTAAAATATCCTATTCTCATTTTGTAATACAATTTCTGAGAGTTTTGAGAGATTCCACCATCATCTTGTGAATTTGGAATGGGCATTGGAATTGCGTCAGATTAAACAAAGAATCAGATTGATAGAAGTAAAGTGACTATGAAAGTTATTTGAATGTAGTCATTCTATGTATCTATTTGAATTTATTATTAATTTTCGAATTTAAATTATTAATTAATGTATAGCAAATACTTCTTTTTATAAGAAAAATAATAATAAAAACATGTTTATGAATTTATCTTTCTAAAATAATCTGATATAGTTGTCATTGTCAATATTTGCTAGTGATAGTGAGTGTCTATATATACATATTTATGAATTTATCTTTCTAAAATACTCTATATAGTTGTTATTTTTAATATTTGCTGGTGATAGTAAGTTCTATATATACACATTTATAAGTTTAACTGTTTATTCTTGATTGTGTAAATGAAAAAGTGTATAAAGTATTTCTAGTAGTTTCATTATCGTTTGTGTGATCATGTATGTTCAAATACGTATATAGTGACGCTCAAAAAGTAATGCATCACTTGAAAGATAAAGTTTGCGATGCAATAACTTCTTATACACAACATTAAACAATATATAACTATGCTTATTTTAGTCATCAAATATAAAAGAATTATTATATTTACTTTATTTTTCATTCATAACTTAAAAAAATTAAAAGTAATCCATTTTTATATCAAATTAAATGATCCTTTTTTTACCATTTTGATTACAAAAATTAAAATTAAAATTTCTAACTAACTAGTAGATAAGAATTCACCAAATTTTAAATAAACATATTTTATCATCTAGTATATCCACCCTTTGCATTTATTATATCTTGAATATGCTCCTCCATACTTTCAATTAAACTTGTTAAAAATGCATATCCATTTCGATTCAGAGTTAATATTGAGTATAAACGGCAATGGATAATCTCAAATGCTGATCTATATACACACCCCTACAGTATATTATTACCAGAAATTTAATGTTGATCATTCAAGAATCAAAGTTTTTATTATTAAATAAAAAATTATCGTATTTATTAAACATACGATAAATTAAAGAAAAATAAAGTAGTGAATATACAGTTATATTGGTTCAAATTTAAGAACCTACAATTAATATGGTATGCTTTTGCCATTGGCTTCAATAACTTTGTCTACGCATTTAGGTAGACTCAAAATTAACTCATGCAAAGTTTCTAAATCAATACTTACCCATTCCTCTTGTAACATACAAATTAATTCTTGCTTTGATATAGGTGATGGTTTTCTTTTTCAAATCTGGCAGTCCAAAATATCCCATAGATGTTTAATCAGATTGAGATCAGAGCTTTGATCAACCTAATCCAAAAGTCAAATATCATGTGTTAACATCCACCAAGTCGTATATATTGAGGTGTGACATGGCGTTGTTATGACCCAGAATTATTCTTAATTTCTTAAATTCTTAATTTCAGTCATGTGATAGAGTAGAGATAACAGAGATAGCAGAGATGTCAGACATATCAAACTTAATGCATTTATCTACTATATCATATTTATCCTATATGTATAATATATCTTATATTGTATTATTCTTATTATAAAATGGTTTATATAAATAAAGAATCTTTTAGATAAACCAAAAGGTATCAATTGATCAATACAAAATCTAGCTAGTCAATAAACTGCTTCTTGTTTATTGTTTAATGAAATTGTACATTAATTGATTTTATAATTATTAATTTTATTATAACACTTACTTTATATACTACTGAACACTCAACCAAATTGTTATAGAACTGTCACCACACTAAGTAAATACAAAGGAAATATTTATTAGTAGTAGTATTATCTATTCTAATTTAATAGAATAGAAGAAGTCGCACTGTGCCACGATTCTAAAAGCAACTGGATTGAATCATTGAAATATTGAAATAGATATTGGTTAAATATCCACGTCACGAGATTACCTACCTGAGTCCAGGACTCATGACAGCACACCATCTTGTTGAAACGTAACATGTGAATATTGGTGAGCCCAGGGTACAAAATAATTAGCGAAAATATTAACATAGATATCTGAATTTATGGTTTCTTCTACTGGCACCAAAGAACTAACCCCATTTCAACTGAAACATCTCCAAAACATCACTGACCCTCTGTCAAATTTAACAGTAGGTTTAATACATGCTTGATAATAAGCT